AGAACCTCTTCAGTGACCATTAGGAACTTTAAAAAAAAGCCTAGAACCTTTTAAAGAACCATTAGAACTTTCTGACAAATAACCAAACAGAGTTGTAAAATTATTTTGTGACTTTGTTTATTTCTCACATTAAAGACTTTAGTCAGCTTTAAAGAGTCGGAGCGTCCATGAACGCACCAACGAGGGAACCTTTGTTCCCAGTGTTCTCGGCTGCGTCGTCATGTGACGCATCAGCGATCTGCAGGCCGATTCCACAGAATGACCTGAAACCAGCGTCTGCCTGGAAGGAAGGAAATCAATCTGTAGCCTGATGGATCCTCTGGAAACTGGTTTTCACTCATGTAAGAACGTGCAATTAGTAGTTAATGGCTCCAACGTCCAAACCACCGGTATGGAGCTGGAAACAGTCCGGCCTGGCTTTGATGGGCTGGAAGTGAAGGCAGCTGCAGATTTAAACATGAGCAGAGCAGATCTGTGGTCAGCTGAGAGGCCTGCACACAACCACAGGTGTCCGGTTACTGCAGCTGCTCAGACCAACCCCAGCTAAAAATCTACAGATTCAAGTACTCAGCTCTGAAAACCTTTAACTGTGCAACATTTGTTGTAGTAACTGCCTTAAAAGTAGTTGTGCTACTATAATAGTAGAACTATAGTGGTTTTGTAGTTAGTATTTGTTTGTAGTCGTGGCAGTACTTGTTGTAGTTACTACTAACAATTGCATAATTAGTAGTACCATTTATAATAAGTGCTAATACTATAAGCAGTAGTACAAGTATCTGCAGTGTCCAGGTTGTGATGTCAGTGAGGGGGTGGAGCCTCTGAATCAGCTGTTAGAGTTCACACGTCCTCTGTGACCCGCAGCGTGGTGCCGTTACTGAAAGAATCCATCGGGATCCTGATGCAGAGAACTCCTCCGTCCCTGGACCACGCCCTGCCCGAGTGTTACCAGAGGGTGAGTACAAGTCCCGCCCACACCCAACCCCGCCACCAGCTACACCTGGAACACGACGGGTCGAGTCTAACTGCCGCTTTGTTGTGTTGTGTTCAGGTGCAGAAGCTGCAGGGAGTTTTAACCTACAGGAGCCTCACTTCTGGACTCTGTGTACTGACGTTTACATCGGAACATTAAAGCTGCTGGTCGCCCCTGACGCCGACACCCGCTGGATCCTCAGCCAGACGCACAACATCTTCACACAGGTACCTGAACATACCAGAAAAGCAGTAGTATTTGAAGTAGCTTCAGTTGTCGAGTAGTAGCTGTTGTACTAACAGTGGTGGTAGTGATGTTTGTGGTGGTAGCAGCAGTATTTGTAGTGTAATGCAGGGCCGTAAGGCGCCAGGCACCTGTCTGCGTCGGCAAGACGCCAGCCGCGGGGCCGTAGGGCGCCAGCCGTCTGTGTTTCAGCGTTCTGTGACTTTGTACCTGACAAGTGAGGTGAATACAACTACTCTCTCTGCTTCTGAAGCCGGAGGACTGTAGAGGCAGCTCAGGTGTGGGAAACAGTCCACGTGTCAGGTAGGAGGGGCCCTCAGCAGAATGTTGCTTAGGGCCCCTGGGGGCTGCATGTTGAGCGGTGCTGCTAAAATCTTCACTCGGGAGCAGCAGTGCTACTAGTGAACAAAGTTAGTCTGTAAAAGTAACCGGTTGTCAGTGTTGTTGTTGTTGTAGTAACTATCTAGTACTACTACCACTACCACCACTAGTTACTACCACTAATTACTACTGCCACTACTAACACTAGTTACTGCCACTACTAACACTAGTTACTGCCACTACTAACACTAGTTACTGTTACTACTTACTGCCACTACTAACACTAGTTACTGTTACTACTTACTGCCACTACTAACACTAGTTACTGTTACTACTTACTGCCACTACTAACACTAGTTACTGCCACTACTAACACTAGTTACTGCCACTACTAACACTACTTACTGCCACTACTAACACTACTTACTGTCACTACTAACACTACTTACTGTCACTAGTTACTGCCACTACTAACACTACTTACTGTCACTACTTACTGCCACTACTAACACTAGTTACTGTCACTAGTTACTGCCACTACTAACACTAGTTACTGCCACTACTAACACTAGTTACTGTCACTACTAACACTAGTTACTGCCACTACTTACTGCCACTACTAACACTAGTTACTGTTACTACTAACACTAGTTACTACTTACTGCCACTACTAACACTAGTTACTGTCACTACTTACTGCCACTACTAACACTAGTTACTGTCACTACTTACTGCCACTACTAACACTACTTACTGTCACTACTTACTGCCACTACTAACACTAGTTACTGTCACTAGTTACTGCCACTACTAACACTAGTTACTGCCACTACTAACACTAGTTACTGTCACTACTAACACTAGTTACTGCCACTACTTACTGCCACTACTAACACTAGTTACTGTTACTACTACACTAGTTACTACTTACTGCCACTACTAACACTAGTTACTGTCACTATTTACTGCCACTACTAACACTAGTTACTGTCACTAATAACACTAGTTACTGTCACTACTTACTGCCACTACTAACACTAGTTACTGTCACTACTTACTGCCACTACTAACACTAGTTACTGTCACTACTAACACTAGTTACTGTCACTACTTACTGCCACTACTAACACTAGTTACTACTTACTGCCACTACTAACACTAGTTACTGTCACTACTTACTGCCACTACTAACACTAGTTACTGTCACTACTTACTGCCACTACTAACACTAGTTACTGCCACTACTAACACTAGTTACTGTCACTACTTACTGCCACTACTAACACTAGTTACTGCCACTACTAACACTAGTTACTGTCACTACTAACACTAGTTACTGCCACTACTTACTGTCACTACTAACACTAGTTACTGCCACTACTTACTGTCACTACTAACACTAGTTACTGCCACTACTTACTGCCACTACTTACTGCCACTACTAACACTAGTTACTGTCACTAGTTACTGTCACTACTAACACTAGTTACTGCCACTACTAACACTAGTTACTGTCACTAGTTACTACTTACTGCCACTACTAACACTAGTTACTGCCACTACTAACACTAGTTACTGTTAGTACTAACACTAGTTACTACTTACTGCCACTACTAACACTAGTTACTACTTACTGCCACTACTAACACTACTTACTGTCACTACTTACTGCCACTACTAACACTAGTTACTGTCACTACTAACACTAGTTACTGCCACTACTTACTGCCACTACTAACACTAGTTACTGCCACTACTAACACTAGTTACTGCCACTACTAACACTAGTTACTGCCACTACTAACACTAGTTACTGCCACTACTAACACTAGTTACTGCCACTACTAACACTAGTTACTGTCACTACTTACTGCCACTACTAACACTAGTTACTGTCACTACTAACACTAGTTACTGCCACTACTAACACTAGTTACTGCCACTACTAACACTAGTTACTGCCACTACTAACACTAGTTACTGCCACTACTAACACTAGTTACTGTCACTACTTACTGCCACTACTAACACTACTTACTGTCACTACTTACTGCCACTACTAACACTAGTTACTGTCACTACTAACACTAGTTACTGCCACTACTTACTGCCACTACTAACACTACTTACTGCCACTACTAACACTACTTACTGCCACTACTAACACTACTTACTGCCACTACTAACACTACTTACTACTTACTGCCACTACTAACACTAGTTACTGTCACTACTTACTGCCACTACTAACACTAGTTACTGTCACTACTAACACTAGTTACTGTTACTACTAACACTAGTTACTGCTTACTGTTACTACTAACACTAGTTACTACTTACTGCCACTACTAACACTAGTTACTGTCACTACTTACTGCCACTACTAACACTAGTTACTGTCACTACTAACACTAGTTACTGCCACTACTTACTGTCACTACTAACACTAGTTACTGCCACTACTAACACTAGTTACTGCTACTACTAACACTAGTTACTACTTACTGCCACTACTAACACTAGTTACTGTCACTACTTACTGCCACTACTAACACTAGTTACTGTCACTACTTACTGCCACTACTAACACTAGTTACTGCCACTACTAACACTAGTTACTGCCACTACTTACTGCCACTACTAACACTAGTTACTGCCACTACTAACACTAGTTACTGCCACTACTAACACTAGTTACTGCCACTACTAACACTACTTACTGTCACTACTAACACTAGTTACTGCCACTACTAACACTAGTTACTACTTACTGTCACTACTTACTGCCACTACTAACACTAGTTACTGCCACTACTAACACTACTTACTGCCACTACTAACACTAGTTACTGCCACTACTAACACTAGTTACTGCCACTAGTTACTGCCACTAGTTGCAAACGCACAACATCTTCACACAGGTACCTGAACATACCAGAAAAGCAGTAGTATTTGAAGTAGCTTCAGTTGTCGAGTAGTAGCTGTTGTACTAACAGTGGTGGTAGTGATGTTGTGGTGGTAGCAGCAGTATTTGTAGTGTAATGCAGGGCCGTAAGGCGCCAGGCACATGTCTGCGTCGGCAAGACGCCAGCCGCGGGGCCGTAGGGCGCCAGCTGTCTGTTTTTCAGCGTTCTGTGACTTTGTACCTGACAAGTGAGGGTGAAATACAACTACTCCTCTGCTTCTGAAGCCGGAGGACTGTAGAGGCAGCTCAGGTGTGGGAAACAGTCCACGTGTCAGGTAGGAGGGGCCCTCAGCAGAATGTTGCTTAGGGCCCCTGGGGGCTGCATGTTGAGTGGTGCTGCTAAAATCTTCACTCGGGAGCAGCAGTGCTACTAGTGAACAAAGTTAGTCTGTAAAAGTAACCGGTTGTCAGTGTTGTTGTTGTTGTTGTAGTAACTAACTAGTACTACTACCACTACCACCACTAGTTACTACCACTAATTACTACTGCCACTACTAACACTAGTTACTGCCACTACTAACACTAGTTACTGCCACTACCACCACTAGTTACTGCCACTACCACCACTAGTTACTACCACTAATTACTACTGCCACTACTAACACTAGTTACTGCCACTACTTACTGCCACTACTAACACTAGTTACTGCCACTACTAACACTAGTTACTGTCACTAGTTACTGCCACTACTAACACTAGTTACTGCCACTACTAACACTAGTTACTGCCACTACTAACACTAGTTACTGCCACTACTTACTGCCACTACTTACTGCCACTACTAACACTAGTTACTGCCACTACTAACACTAGTTACTGTCACTAGTTACTGTCACTAGTTACTGCCACTACTAACACTAGTTACTGTCACTAGTTACTGTCACTAGTTACTGCCACTACTAACACTAGTTACTGCCACTAGTTACTGCTACTACTAACACTAGTTACTGCCACTAGTACTAACACTAGTTACTGCCACTAGTACTAACACTAGTTACTGCCACTAGTACTAACACTAGTTACTGCCACTAGTACTAACACTAGTTACTGCCACTAGTACTAACACTAGTTACTGCCACTAGTACTAACACTAGTTACTGCCACTACTAACACTAGTTACTGCCACTAGTACTGCCACTAGTTACTGCCACTACTAACACAAATTACTGTCGCTACTAACTGCCACTACTGCCACTAGTTACTGCCGCTACTAACACTAGTACTAACACTAGTTACTGCCGCTACTAACACTAGTTACTGCCGCTACTGCCACTAGTTACTGCCACTAGTTACTGCCACTAGTTACTGCCACTAGTTACTGCCACTAGTTACTAACACTAGTTACTGCCACTACTAACACTAGTACTAACACTAGTTACTGCCACTAGTACTGCCACTAGTTACTGCCACTACTAACACAAGTTACTGTCACTACTAACTGCCGCTACTAACACTAGTTACTGTCGCTACTAACACTAGTTACTGTCGCTACTAACACTAGTTAGTGCCGCTACTAACACTAGTTAGTGCCGCTACTAACACTAGTTAGTGCCGCTACTAACACTAGTTACTGTCGCTACTAACACTAGTTACTGCCGCTACTAACACAAGTTACTGTCGCTACTAACACTAGTTACTGTCGCTACTAACACTAGTTACCGTCGCTACTAACACTAGTTACCGCCGCTACTAACACTAGTTACCGCCGCTACTAACACTACCTACCTGATGTCTCAATGTCTCTGCAGGCCGGAGTTCGACAGCTCTACGTTCAGATTGAAAAGGCTTCCATGTAGAAGCTCCTCCTCCTCTGAACACCAGGGACCAATCACCTGCAGGCGACCTCTGAGGGTCAGACTGAGACCAGGGGCTGGGCAGTTAAGAACTTGACTGATCTCCCATGATGCTCCAGCCCAATGCATCCTGGATGAACTCAGACTGCACCCCCCCCCCCCCCCCCCATTTTTTATTTTTTTTTTAATAACCTTACCTGTCCGGTTGGCGGGCACTGTGACCCCGCCCTCCTCCTTCTGGCTGTACTTTGTAGACTGGAAAAAAGCATTCTGGGTAAGTGCCTTCATCATCAGAGACTATCTGAGCCCGCTTCCTGTCCAGATGCCCCCTCCCCCCGTGACATCACTGCTGCCAACTGATTGGTCCGTGTGATGTTACTGTGTTTTTAACGTGCCAAACCATGTGACCAAATCATATGACAAGTCAGTGGGTTTCAGTTTTTTTCAACTGTAATAAATAATTTTGTTTCTCTGA